GGGGGGGGGGGGGGGGGGGGGGTACTCATAGTCGTGCATGCCGTAGTCGTTTGACCATTGACCTCGCATCCCTACAAAGCCGGGACGGAGCACGCCGGGTTCTCACCGGACCAGGCTCTCACATCACCAAGCGCGAAGCGCCGTGAGGTATTTGGCGAGTCGCATGAAGGGTGAGCTGCATCCTGCTAAGGGTGTTCGGCATCTTGTGTTTACTTCCTTGCGTACGGATGACAGCTACGTATGACTTAATTTATTTTCTGGTGCTTTCACTTCCAGAGACAGTTGTAAGCACTGTGTAACTGCCTCGAGGAAGCTTGACCATTTTAACACAACGTGGTACGATCATCCCCCGTTGCGCGGAGTGAGGTTTCTCGACCCCGCACAACATGATCTACTCGACCACCATTATGGTTACCGCCAAAAAAAAAACCGAGGCAAAAAAAAAAAACGGTAACCTGGTTGCCGAGTTCACGAAGTGAATTGGCTTGTTTTACAACGTCGTTGCCAAGCGACGAAAACCCAACCCCGATGACAAACACCGGGGGGGGCGGCATGTTTTACAACGTCGTTGCCAAGCGACGAAAACCCAACCCCGATGGCAAACATCGGGGGGGGGGAGGGGGGGGGGGGGCGATGGTGGCCGGGTAAACTACCACCCTGTCGGGCAGGGTCACGTATTGAATGTACGTGTGGGCGAGGCAGCAATAAAGGGACCCACAATTGTTGTTGTTGTTGTTGTTGTTGTTGTTGTCTTCATATTAAAAACCGTTCCGATCTACAATGAAGCCATGTTATTCGTGGAACATGATGCAAGTTAACGTTGCAGTTCCATGTTCATGATTATCAACGTTTCAGTCTCCAGCCTTAGATCATGATACACTGCGTAGGTCAAGTCACGCAATATTAGGAGGGAATTCTCCCATACGACGAGGCTTGTTGTACGCATTGGCAGACACGGGTCGCGGTCGTACAGTGGCCAGAGTTTTGGAGACCTCGCTACATATGTGGGGTACGCGAACGGTATTGCTTCGAAGTAATGTTCAGCCAGGTCGGAGCAGCGCATCGCCGCGCAGCGCACGGCCGCAACAAAAAGCAAAGACGCAAGACTGCGGCTGCTGTACCTGCACACCCGCGAGGAAAGAATCAAAGAGAAGACAAGGGAAAACGCCTATAATACCACACAACAATTTGTTACAGCTGATGCGCGTGTTGCCACCACACACACACACACACATCGGATATAAAAACACAGACATTGGTGGTTTGCAATCACCACCATCGAAAAAAACACCGGTCAGAAATGCTCCACAGACATGTATTTCAGCGGGCAATAATTGGATAGCGGTCGTCTGAAAGGACCATCAACAAGCAAGGAGAGGCTGCGAATATGTTCGCAAGAGGAACTGTCGATTGAGAAGTGTGCAGGGAGGAGAGACAGGTCGACGCTATGCTTCATTACAAAGGACGGCTGCTACTGCTGTTCCACTGCTGTAAATAACTTTGAATGCGAAATACATGTAGGAAAATGCGTATGCAAATGCATACGACAAGGCCTACAGGAGCAGATTACGAGGTCCGTGTCCGTATGACCGTTCTTTGCCCCAGGCGCAGGGGCATGACCAATCGAACCAAACGAACTCAACCCCCTCCCCCCCGCGCGCTCGTTCCCTTTGACCGCTCACGCTTCCTTCCCAGGTCTCGTACCTCTGCTGGTGGCCCTCCTCCCGCGTGTCCCATTCCCAAGCATGCATAGTCATAGCTCCATTTTCGACCAAGCCCAAACTCCCGCGATCGGCATGGAGCGGGCCAACATCGCTCTCCGCGCCCATTTCAGCACGTTGTGTAGAGGGCGAAGCGCTTGCCGGCCATGCTTCTCCGGCCATGGCAGGCGGCATGAGCGGGAACCACGCGCTCTCTGCCACGGCGCATTCTTCTTCCGCGGGAAGCATCGGCGCCGTAGGGGTTGAGCTCTCGCCGTCGCCACCGCCACTTGCCCTGCCGGTGTCGTTCTGAGAGTTGTGCAGGTGCAACCTTGGCTGATTTAGCTGTTGCAGGTGGTAGGCTTGAACTTCGAACGGCAGCATGTGGAACGGGAGCTTCGATCGGGCCTCCCACGCGGACGGGGAACCTCTGCCGCTGGCATTGTCGCTCGAGCCGACACTGCCGCTGCTGCTGATGCTGTCGCTGCTGCTACTGCTGCTTTGGGAGCTGCAGCTCCGTGTGCGGTCATCGCGGTTGGTTGCTGCAGGCGCGCCTCCGTTACTCTCACGATGTGCCACTGCTGCTGACGCTGTTACGGGTTCATAACTGCCCCCGCTCTTGTCGCCTGCTGTTCTCCCTGCGAAGCTGCCGAGAATCATGGGCGGTTCCGTACGAACGGGCAGCGGTCGTCCAAAAGGGAGTGGCTCTGCCGTCGAGAGTTGGTGTCGCTGCTGCTGCTGCTGCTGCTGCTGCTGCTGCTGCTGTTCTTTGCTGGCTGAAATCCGATCTACTTGCTCCTTTTTCTTGTTTTTCTGGTCCTTCCCCGGCGTTTGGGCGTGCTGCTGCCCCCGTCCGGGCTGCTGTGCTTGGCCACGCAGGTAATATTCGGTAGTTTGCTGCGCCATGGACCTGCCGTGCATGGAACTGCCGCACTGGCTCTGCACGCGAGGTCACACGACAACAATGATGACTGCCAGCCACCGTTCCACTGTGCTGTTGCACCAGCCACTCGCCAGAACAGAGGAATATTTTCAATATTTTCAATATTCGATACAAATCGGAATCCGGCGGGTGTCATATAACTGCTGTCATCTGTCATCACAGCAGTCATCGCACGATCGTGCTTTCTTGGTTTTGCGGGTAATCGGCAATGCAGCAGCTATACTGCTTGTACGCATACATATATCTTGGATCTTTTGGAACCAGGTTGTATGCTACTACATATAAACACGACGAGATCGGGAATAATAAGCGCGGTGGGTCAGCGAAACCGGCTTCAAGTGGACCTTCACAGTTGTAAGCACTCTTTGGCATTGCAGAGCCTCCCCTTGAATGCCTCGTGTCGGGTATACTCAACAGCACAAGAAAGCAGCCTAAAAGCGGAAGTAGAGGGCGCGAAGAAAAAGAAAGATTGGTCTCTCGTACAATTGTATGCATTTGTATGCAGAGGCGATAAAAAAAAAAAAAACGAGTAGTTTGTTCTCCAAAGTCATGCCGCCGGTCGCTCTCGCCTACATAGCAGGGGAAGGTGCAGTAAATCTTGATCTTTGGTCCTTGGGTTGGACGCGAGTCGCGCAAGACCACACAGCAGAATGATAGTAAAACGTGCATACCCCCCCCCCCCCCCTCCATCTATCTTGTACACTACGGGGGATGTCTCCCTCCGTAGGCCACAGAAATATTAATCAAGGCAATTCGAAAGAAAACAATAAAAGAAGAGCCGAGGATGCGCTGTTGTTCTTGTCCTGAAGTGAAAACACAACAAGAAGAAGAAGATTTCATCGGGAAGAAAGACCCGCCCGTTGGCCCGTCTGGCTTTTTGTTTTATCTTTTACCTCTCCTCTCCACCTTTTCCGCTGTGCGGTTGGTTGTTGTTGTTGCTGTCTTCACATTAATAACCGTGCCGGTCTCCCACTCAGTACCTTCTAATGTCCGTATACTATAGTACTGGTCCAACTGACGCGGACGCCTTCCTTCCGTGGTCACAAGCCAACTGCCCCCCATACAGGAGGGGTTGTTGTTGTTGTCTTCAAACATTTGAACATCTTTCTAAAAAATAAACATGTTTGCAATGTTACTCTTCATCCCGTCGCTACCGCGGCGTGCCCATTCGAGCGATGTGATATTCGGGATGTTTTGTTCTCAGGGTTGAAGGTAGGCCTCTTTCTTCTTGGGCTCTGTAGCCGTCCGCACGCCGTTGCCAAGGCGGGACCGTTCTAAACGTAGGGGGAGGAGATTGATTGCTGTGTGCGCGCGTGGTAGCGGGCTCCCGTGTGCTTGCAGCCCGGCAAGCGGACGTTGATCGAGTGTCATTTTTCCTCCACTCGCGCCTGGACGGCGCTAGGCGACAATCGTCTCACGTTACCGGGGGTGCGCCATCGTATTCTCTCGGG